GGGATGGGGAGAGACCAGGGTGGGATGGGGAGACACCAGGAGGGGATGGGGAGAGACCAGGGTGGGATGGGGAGACACCAGGAGGGGATGGGGAGAGACCAGGGTGGGATGGGGAGACACCAGGAGGGGATGGGAGACACCAGGGTGGGATGGGGAGAGACCAGGGTGGGATGGGGAGACACCAGGGTGGGATCAGCTCCCAGGTCTTCTCATCCCAAGGCCAAGTCCTCTTCCCAGCCACCCTCGGGTGATCTCCTTAGGCAGGAACATCTTCTTGGAGGCCAGAAGAAGAGGAGGGGACCTTCCTAGGGGGATCAAATCTCTCTTTGTTCTCCTTCTTGCCCAGGTGACTCTTTGTTTTGGTCACCATCTTCTCAAGGTCGTGAGAGGAAGTCCCAGAAGAAGGTTCTGGAGGAGGGACTCGAGTTCTCCAGGAGCTCCCCAAGTTCTCCAGGAGCTCCCTGAGTTCTCCAGGAGGATCCTGAGTTCTCCAGAAGCTCCCCAAGTTCTCCAGGAGCTCCCCAAGTTCTCCAGAAGGTCCCTGAGTTCTCCAGAAGCTCCACAAGTTCTCCAGGAGCTCCCCAAGTTCTCCAGGAGGTCCCCGAGTTCTCCAGGAGCTCCCCGAGTTCTCCAGGAGCTCCCCGAGTTCTCCAGGAGGATCCTGAGTTCTCCAGGACTTCTCCAGGAGCTCCACAAGTTCTCCAAGAGGTTCCTGAGTTCTCCAGGAGGTCCCTGAGTTCGCCAGGAGGATCCTGAGTTCGCCAGGAGCTCCCCAAGTTCTCCAGGAAGATCCTGAGTTCCTGAGTTATCCTGGAGGTCCCTGAGTTCTCCAGGAGCTCCCCAAGTTGTCCAGGAGCTCCCCAAGTTCTCCAGGAGGTCCCTGAGTTATCCTGGCGGTCCCCAAGTTGTCCAGGAGCTCCCCAAGTTTTCCAGGAGGTCCCCGAGTTGTCCAGGAGCTCCCCAAGTTCTCCAGGAGGTCCCCGAGGTCTCCAGGAGGTGGTTGTTTGGGTTGGGTTGGTTTGATCTCCACTCAAACCCCAAATGAAGGGCTTGGACCTTCCCCAAACCTTCCCAGGAGCCACGAGGAGACCTCTCCATCCCACCCCACCCCACAGGACCTCCGAGGTGCCCATGAACCCCCCCACCACCCCCTTTTGGGACTTACTCTTGTCACTTTCGTTGCCCTGAGCTCGGGTGGTGGCCAAGAGGCTGGTGCTGAGGATGAGGATGGAGATGAAGGCCAAGGCCACGTGTCCATCACCACGAGCCATCCCTGGGGCAGAGAAACCAAAGAGGATCAACCCTGGGTGGTGCCCGGGCTGTGGAGAAGGTCCTTGGTGATGGCCCTTCAGCCTCCAAGAGGGTCACCTCCATCTCCTGGTGGTCCTGGAGCTCCTTCCCCACCTAATTCTGGGCCCAACCCACCCAAACCAGACCCACCAGCTGGAGGGAGGGTTGGAATCCCCCACCAGAAGATGGAGAAGCCCCTTCCTGAACCCCCCTGGGTCTCACCAGAGGGATGGAGGGTTGGAACCCCCCACCAGAAGATGGAGAAGCCCCTTCCTGAACCCCCCTGGGTCCCACCAGCTGGAGGGAGGGTTGGAATCCCCCACCAGAAGATGGAGAAGCCCCTTCCTGAACCCCCCTGGGTCCCACCAGCTGGAGGGAGGGTTGGAATCCCCCACCAGAAGATGGAGAAGCCCCTTCCTGAACCCCCCTGGGTCCCACCAGACGGAGGGAGGGTTGGAATCCCCCACCAGAAGATGGAGAAGCCCCTTCCTGAACCCCCTTGGGTCCCACCTACCCCCTTGAACCTCCAAATCCAGGACCTTTGGTGGCCCCATGGACCTCCTGGTGGTCTTGG